TTCTGGTGGAATTTTCCAAAGTTAAGTGTCCTATAAGGGGGGACAGGACACTAGACAATGTGTACAGTAACATCAAGCATGTCTACATAGCAACACCCTTTCCTGACCTCTATGTTCCTCATCTCTGCCTACACAGCCCTCAGGAAACAAACCTCTCCAAGAACCCGGATCATTAAAACACGATGATGCTCTCCTCCAGCCACAGGACTGTTTTGGTCTGACAGACTGACCCATCTTCAAACAGCAGGACCTGGAGACCCTCACTCAGTTTGTCGTTTTCTACATTTGGTGCAGTGTAGAAAATGTGACAGTGATCAAAACCATCTAGGATGAAAGGGGAAATTGGCCACAGTCAGCCGTTGACGAGGTGATGAGGCGGGTCCGGGGGGCAACCGCGTGGCAAGCGGTGGCTGTGCAGAAGATGTGGACAGAGTTGGGGCACATAGGCAGCTTGCCAGGTGGCTGGCGCGCAGGACCACACCTGCGCGCCTGTAGACACACGCCTGGCCGATGCCACTGGACTAGACGACACAGCGACCTCTGACTCAGGCAGAAGAGGTCCTCACCGTGCGCTGACCTCAGGCTCAAGCAGAGCAGGTTTCTTTGATGCTCAGGAACCAACCGAGCTGTCAGACTCATTATCAGCTGCATCCGGCGCTCGGACCAGTCATGCAGCTCTTCTGCCTGGCCGTGAAACACCGCCGCCTGCTCCCTCTGCATGGCCACGAGCTTGGTCACCATTCGGGCCTGCGCCTCTACTGGCTGGCTCGGACCCGACCACATAGTTTGCTCTTTCAACATGTCTCTTTTCCAGTTGCTGTATCTTTCACTCAATTGCAGCTTTTCAGCTGCACCACACGCACACAACAACGCCAACAACCTTGGGTCCTGGCACACTCTTTTATGCAGGGAAGGCGTGATGAGCTGATGGAGCTCCAGTGTGTCTCAGCCTCGCCTGCTGCTGTACCCAAGCCACACCTCGCCACACCACCAAACTGGACAACCTTCAAATCCCTCCCTGCCTGCTGCTCAGAAAAAAAAACTGCATGTCCTGAAAACAAAAGAACTCATAGCTTACTTCAAAAGACACAGAAAGGTCCACTCCCCTGTCATTAGAAATGGAGTAAAGGTGCCTGGGACCCACATCTCGGTCATCTCAAGCCAGCTCCAATCAGCAAGAACCCTGTTACCATGGTTCCGAATAGGTAGATATCTTCAGTGTCCTCGATCGACAGTCCCGCCAGGCACATGATCCTCCAGGTCTGCCACCCGTCCATCGTGTATCCGGCAGGGAAAGTCCCTTCAGGGCACTCGGGCTCTCCCGAGCCCAGACTTCTCGTTTAGAAAAGGGTGTCAATAGCATTCAGAGACCAGCTGATCAAATCCATAATTCTCTTTTAGGTTTTAGAGAACGACAGTGAGAGACTGTTCCAGGGAAAGTAATGCACACGAGACAAGACAAGGACACAAGAGGCTAAGCAGGGAAGATAAGGGAGAGGAGGAGAGGAGAAAAAGTGTGACTGCCTTCGCCGAGAGCCAAACGGCCGAAACGCCACGAGGACCAACTGAGTTTCGATGTCCACAAACCATGAAGTAGGGTCGTGAAGCCAAAAATCCAGCAGCTTAAACGTCACAGCAAAAATTCAAACGTACAGCTCTGCTATCACTTCCAAAATAAATGCAGACAGAAAACTAAACAGCAGTGACGTTTGTAGGGTTACTGAAGTTGGGCTAGCTGGTATATAATGATGTGCTGCATGGTGGCTAGCTACACAGCCATAGTTAGCATAATATAAACAGTGAAGCTGGAGGATAACTTTTTTTCCACTCAATGAGGGTTCCCGATGGTTAGGAACAAATAAAACTGCATGGCAGGATGAAGTTAACAGACCAAACTTCAGTCAGGAGAACAACTGCAATATAAGGTCAGTCATTAATATACCGCTGCATGGGCTGGGCTGTAGTTACATCGTGATGTTTTAAAAACTGAGCTTTAAAATGAATAGTGATGATTAAAAACCAAGAGAGGCCGACAGTGATCACTGACTTTTTTTGAGGGGTTTGTTCATATTAAATCGAACAAAATATAAAGAATTAAAACATGTTAAAAACACAACAGCCTTAATAAATGCAGAGTAGTTTGGACCTGGAAGCAGGTTTCATCAGGTCATCACTTAGAGATTGGATATCGCACCTGTTGTAAATGTTTTAATGCAGTACAGTTGTTATTATTATCACTTGTCATATCTTGTTTATGACAGTTAAAATAAATAACATTCATATAAGTATGTATGTAAGTGAACTGTATGTGGTGTTAAATAGGCCTATACTACTGTACTTTAATGTCGGTCATAAGGGTGGTACTTCAAGAGCCATATATTTTATTAGGTGGTGCTCATTGTGAAATGTTTGAGAACCACTGTTCTAAGGCATGCAAAATTCATGTTGATGACATCAATGATAGCCTGTTTGTTTGTTTGAATCGTCTGTTTGAAGATGCTAAATTTTACATACCCACCTATGTCAGGTGAGGAGCTCAACAATTCTTTTTAAAAAATAATGAGTGAGAACTATGAATCACTATGCCAGCTGATATGTAAATTGGTAATGTAATAATATTTTTGCTGGGTGGTTCTGGGGGCCTGTCCTCGAGTTGGGCCAGCCCCTGGTGAGTCAGCTTCACATCTGAGGCTCTCACCCTTTGGCCTTGAGGGGTCAATCTGGGGCTTCCCTCTTGAATCTGCTGAGGTGGACACATCGTTATCATTTGGGTGTGTGTCCTCTGGTCTTTAGTGCTCTTGGGGGCACTGCACACAGCCATGGTCTCTGTTTATTTAGGTGTTGTGTGCTATGTTTTAAGCAGGAAGGAGGTAAACATTGTAATAATCCAAAGAACTTAATGCAGGTCCTGCTACAGACTTATATGCCCTCTGTTCGGTCTAATGTCAGACCTCGCTGGCGCAGAGGTTCGTCATTGTGAACAAAAGCAAGACACTCCGTACGGTTCTCACTTGCTAGCAAGGAGGTCCGGCAAGATGTTCAGCCGACTTCAAACTGACTCCCCTTGCAGGCTAATGACCACCGTGGGTTACACAAACACTGTCAAACTGGTTTAAACTGGTTACGCAATGTAAAACCCATATAGTGTGTCCCATAAAAGCTCAGGCACTGAGTGTGTGTGGGCATGCATGAGCGAGCACATGTGTGTGTGTTGTGTGCATGTGTGAGTGCATGTGGGTATGTGTCTCTGTATATGTGAATTCTTCTCACACAATATAAGCTTAGAACTATTTAACCACATTTCGTAGTTATCCAGAGGATCTCCCCACACCCATATATGGTTTAACTTTAATGGTTCACCATATGCAAGCATAGGTGAGCCCCTAAATGGCCGGGAGTGAACATCCTTTACCACATAAGGAACCAGAACCTTTAGATGGAATGTGCCTGCAGTTAAACAACTATTTGCCTCCCCCACATCCTCGATGTGTAGGGGAGGAACAGAAAAATCTCTAAACATACAGTTTAAGGACAAGGTTTACAAATTTAATTACAACAACAACAAATATTATCAAAATCAACCTAACACCGTCTTAATTGGTCCATAACACCAACATTTTTATATGCGTTGTTGGGCAGGTGATATATTGAAAGAAATTGGAGCGATGCTGAAATATGTTATCGTGTATGCCCCACAAGTTGGATGCTCATTTAAAGACAAATTCTGGAATAAGTGGGATCAAGTTCAAATGGTGGTCGTTGGAGCAGACATCTATAGACATGTAGATGAAGGGGACACAGGATTTTGAGGACTTGTTGTGTAGGCATGCTGTTCAGGAGAGAACATTGGCTCTCAGTGCAGATGTAATTGTGTTTTTCCCCCAGTTTTATAGCATTTATAGCATTGTAGCATGCTATCAAAAACTTTCTATCAGATACAGTTTATCAAGAAAACTCTTGTTTCTTTTCTCTGATCACAACTGTGAATGTGAGTAAAACTGTAAAAATAAATCTCTGCAGAGTTTAATTCAACACCTCAAATGCAGTGTCAGCTCAGTGACTGCCACCACAGAGTGACAGAAGTGGCTGAATTATGTATTTATTTGTATTCTGCAAAAGTCTGCAAGTCTCATCTCCGATGCCACCAGTTCCCACAAAATGGTCTTTTAAACAATTTTTTATTTTGCACTTTATCAGGAAAAATAAGGTGTCTTTGGTTCACTGTACAATAATATTTACAATATCTACAGGGAGAAAACTGACAAAGAGACAAGAAGCACAGGAAGCAACGACAATGACGTATGTGCCTTGTAATACATTACACATCCAAACATTGGACTCGTGGGATTTTCTTTGGGACATTGTAGGAAAAAAACTGCCTTAAAGATGTTTCCATTGTGCCTGTTTTTTCTTTTAAGCTTTTGCTACCAAATTCTTACTAGATCCCAACATACCATACCCCATCCTTCACTTATTTTGCTACTGTTAGTATTTGCGAAATGTTACAGCTTAACCACAAAATACTGTTATCATTCAGATTTTAGGATTATCCAAAGTGGCTTTAACAAGCATGCAAAAATTTCTTGCAACATGCCAGCAAAGAATGTCTAGTTCACAGTGTCTCATTCTGTGCACGAGGCACACACATTTCCTCTTGTACATTTGGCTTGAAAAAGGTGTTAGTTAAAGTGTTCTATGTAATACAGAGAGAGGTGAAAATAGGAGCAAGCAGCAATGTTTGTTGCATGGCCATTTCTGCTGCACTAATGATGACTATTCCTTCCCAATCAAAACAACATTTCAAGTGCATTACACAGTAATAAATGACACAAAATGTCCTGAGAATCCAAAAGTCATTTACACAAAGACATCTTTTTTAAAACTGAAAGGCTAGTTGAGGGTGACTACACCCACCTAAATGCAAGGCACTCCAAGTTGTGTCACAGGAAGCGCACGTTTAATGTACTCAGCAGTCTGACCTATCGACCTACGTTGCTGATTATCGACAAGTCTCCAAGAAGAAGACAATGTGAAGATGATTGTGTTTTGGATTGCACTGAATCTTCTTCATCGAGGATGTAAGTGCTTTTTTATTCAGTCTTAAATGCTCATAGTCAAGACATGCATGTCAGCTGAGTCATATTGGATCATACATTGTTACTCAATGTGCTTTAATGTGTTATGTCAGATGCACTGGTTTCACAAATTACTGTTCAAGCTGGAGAACCTGCAACCTTCATCTGTAGTCTACCTCACACAGAGGTCCTCCCTCGACAAGTCCACTGGTATAAACAGAGTGCCGGGGATACACTGAAAGTAATTGTGACAGTGCGGAAATCTAAACCACCTGAGTATGCACAAGATTTTCCTAAATCCAGATGGGAGATAAAAAGCAACAGCAGTTTTAGTAACCTGACCATTTTGAGGACAATTCAAGAAGATGAGGGAATGTATCACTGTGGAGTCTCCGAGTGGCTTGCAGACATTATATGGACTGGGATGCATTTATTAATAAAAGGTAATGACAAAATCAGTACATTTCAAAATATCTCATTTTTAATATTTTTTTTATTTTGTTTCATTTCTTTTTATGGTGTTTTTTTTAATTGCTGAGGCTTTCACCAGAATCTAACTTTATGTGTTTTAAATGCACATTTGTTATTATTTTGGCAGTGTTATTAGTAGTAGAGTATTAATTTAAAATTATTTTAAAAAAATAGTGTGCTTCTAATCTAATATACACAATTCCTAAATTAAAAATTTATAACAAAGCTTGTATAACTTTAAAAAAACCTTTATGTCCAACAGGAAAAAATCAGAGCATTTCCAACTCTTCTGTTGCTCAGAGTTCGACAGTATCATCTGGAACTAAGCCAGACATCCATGGTAACGCAATCATCGGTCTATCAATTAAAACATTTTGATATACTCTAACTGTCAGATCTTTTATTCATATTGTTCCAGGAAGCAGCATATGGTCACACAGATCCGGGGCAGTTATTTTTATGCTGTGTGCTGTCTTGGCTATAAGCCTGATTGTTATAGCTATCCTTATTGCTGCAATGAAGAAAGATGACACGCAATATTGCAAAGGTAATAGCAGCTATTCAGAAAACAGCATTATATTTGAATTGCTGCATTCATAGTTCTTGTTTTTTTTTTCATATTCCATAATGTAGGTGTTGTTCCCCTGCGAAAAAACACTGGTATCCAGAAAACTCAACAGGTAAAGTAGTAAACGACTGAATTAACCTCATCAGAATGAAATGTTACTTTTGACATTTTGTTTTTTCCCCTTAGAAAGCAGAGGATGTGTGGTTTTACTCTGCTGCAGTCTTTGCCATGATGGGAACTGACAGAGGTGGGACAACAGATGCAGCTGAGAGGGAGAGACTCCACACTGCTGTCAAGGCCTTTGGGCTGGATTAATGAGCCTTTTGGATCCACTGAATAATTTAGGTGTTTCTTTTATGTCACAGTAGAGTACACCTAATATTAGGTATATTAGATACCATTGTAAGCTTAAAAATGTATTTTAGTTAAACTTCTGTTTAAGCATAAACTTCTACATCTGTATACATGCATGCAGCCTTTTCAGTCTGGCTAGGGACATTACTTTACACTTTTCTGAATTAAGTCTCAGGCTTACTTTCACAAAAGCAAAAGGCTGAGTTATACAATACTATGTAAAGAAAACTACTGTTGTCAAACGTAAAGACCTAAGTGGGGATGCACTTGTAGTGAAGTGGAGGAACACATTTTCAAAGACGTTTTCTTGTAACATCATAATATGTAAATAAATAAAACACTTTCTAGTACCAAACTGTGGCTTTTGGTGTGATTTGTAGCACTTTTATTTCACTATAAGAAGGTACTTAGGTTTCCTCTTAAAGCACTATTAGAGCACAACTAAAACTACAACACCAGTATTCACTGTGGTGAGTACTGTGGTCTGCCAAGCAGGTAGTCAGGACAACATTTAAAGAACAATTAAACTGAAGCACACATGATGTTCAATGTGAGCAGCACATGTTTACTGTGGTTATACGAATGACGAACTTACAAATGCAGTGCACTAAAAAATATTTGCTTCTGTCCTTATTTTTTTGTTTTGTTCTCTTCTCTTTATTTCTTTTGTTTCTCAAAATAGTGATCCAACCTGTTTGGGGTTTTTTTGTTTCGACAATGATTTACCTTGCAAATACTTCATATAACTAATATTTTAATATTTGATGACTTAAAAAATGATTAAAAACAGTTAGACAATCTGTCTGTGGTTTTACTGATGGAGAGCACCAGGTTGAACAGATGATGGGTAGGATGGGATGAGTCCTTTAAGATCTTTGTGACTTCCTCAAGGCAGTGGGAAGTGAACATAAAACGCTTTAAGTCACGTCTCTTTAAGTCTCAGACAGAGTAGAAATGTGCTATAAAATAATCAATCCATCTACCTTGGCATCTCTGATGCCCCTCTTCAAACCAGACCTGACAACACTATATTGTTGTATGCCATCAGATCTGAAAACCATGTTAAGGGCCTTAAGCAGGACTCGGACATCTTTCATTATCCACAGCTTGTTGTTAGAGAAGGGAAATATGTTTTGTGGTAGTGATCGTGTCGATACAACTTCTTATAATAGAGGAGTACAGTGTAAGTGTAGATGTCATCATCCTTAAAACTAGACCAGTCAGTTCAATCAAAGCAGCCCCAAAGCTGTTCAGATGTTCTCTTGGGCCTCACTAGAACTCTAGCAGTTGGTTTCACCATGTTAAGGATGTTGCTTGCTAATAGCATTTAGCAGGTGGCTAAAGTATTACAGTAGTAATCATTACCCCTGAGTTCTCCAGGTAGATAAAAGGGGCGACACGTAACAGTCAAATACTTCAAGTCCAGGGAACACTGAGTGTTGGTAATCTTAGTGTGTGTGCACCTTCTGTTGTTTGTATACACACACAGTCCTCTCCCGCTGGCCTTACCGGAGTCACTTGCTCTGGTAGCCTGGTATGTTGTGTGACCTGTTAGCTGCACAGCTTCCTAAGCTACATAATCAATTAAGCCACTAATCAATGGATTAAACAGGACAGGAAAAAGAGTTGTTTTATTCAGTATTGCTCTAATATTTGCTTTATATCTATTAGTAAGAAGCAGTATCGATGTTTTAGACCCATTTCCCCCCCACACGCTGAAAAAAAGGAGAAAAAATTGTGAACTTACTCTCACCACTTTCTGCCATTAGACCACAAAAACGTTTTTGTTTTTTTTTCAAGATTAATATTTTGGTAACAAATTCTGAGAAACTCTTCTCTTGCTTTATTTTCCTTTATTGTCCTAAACACTTTGCTTTTCACATTTCGTTACTAAAGTCAGTTACTTCTAGTCCAACCTCATTTCTCACCATTTTCATGCCTTGTCTGTTTGGTCGTAGACCTGGCAGTACAAACAAAGTATACACCCAAGATGAAGTCATCGAGTCCCAGCAATATTTAAGCTTACTAAATAGCATTCATGCCTTATATGTGTTACAACTAGGGATGGGTACCGGTATCCGGTGCCATCTGACATAAACGGTAGTAACCAGACCAAACAGCAGCGCACATTTTGGTGCTTTATTTAGGTGCTTTTTTTTTTTACCTGAGATGTGATACACTTTGGATTCCAGCCAATCATTTTACGTTTCCGAGGATAGTAGGCGGGTCCAGGTACGTACTTTCTTTTAGAGCAGAGCTACAGATTAAAAATGCCCAAGGCGAAGTGGTCAAAAGTCTGGCTGTACTTCACAGCAAAAGATGCAAACCCAGCAGCCTGCAACAAGTGCTTTAAGCTGATACTGTCAAAGGAGGTAACACCTCAAATCTGATGAAAGCAGCAGCCGTTCTTCTCTGCGTGAGTAGTTTAATGTTGTTCGTGTATAATTTACGTTGAGTAGGCTAACCACGTTATTACATTAATGCATGTAAGGTGAACTACCAAACACCATCATAGCTACATGCGGCTGTCTTCTTGTTTGATGGCAGATACTCCCTTCACCCTGGCCAAAAAGGCTAAAATGACCAAAGAAAAAGTGGAAAACAGCTAAACACGAGAGGTTTTTGGACAAAGTTTGTGTTTTTTCCATTGTTTAAGCACTGCTTCCAGCCAAGAGTGATACCATATATGCCCCATAGCTGCAGAAAAGGCTAACATTGTTATCTTTTTACAAAAAAACCAGCTGAACATGAGAGGTTTTTGGACAAAGTTTGTGTTCTCCATTCTTTAAGCACCGGTTTGAGCACCGTTTAAGCACCGGCACCGTTTCAAAAGTACCGGTTTGGCACCGGTATCGGATAAAACCTAAACGATACCCATCCCTAGTTACAACCTTTATGACCCAATTCAAATTGGATCATAAAGGTTCCCATGTGTCAGATTTTTCTCTTGCACTTTTTAGTGTGATGGTTAGTTCTCCACTTTCTACGCTCTCTGGTAAAAAGCTCGCCTGTCTTCATTCCACTCCTCTAAGAACCCACCAACCAGCACAGCTTTCTATCTTCCTTACACAGCTCTGTTGTTATACAAAGTCTGCCAGAATTACTTTGCAGTACAAGTGTTGTTGTTTATGTGAGTGAGTACATTTTTAGCTTAAATCGTGTAGTTTAAGATCAGCATTATTCTGATTCTTCCTCTGTGATTATGTGCGATTACTGTTTCTTTTCACACGATATACTTTGATATCTGTTAAGAAAATAGACTAATTCTGGTTTTTACAGGTGCAAAACCACCTGATCTTTACTTCTTGCAAGGAAGAATTTATTTTGTGCCCCTTCATATGTATAGTGTTCCTCTAAGATGCACAATGTAATACGTTTCTTGCAGTAAAGTACATATCGCAAACAGCAGTAGTTCTTTTAAGTTGAAAGACTGGAATTCAGAATAGAACACAAACCGGCCTTCCAACGAAAAAAACAAACAGTAATTAATGTGGACAGCTGCAATGAGAGATGAATGACAGCCTTGTTTCATTAAGCCAAGGACAGGAAGTGTGCTTTGAATCTGATAACCAATCAGATGCATTTTACACCAAAGGTATGGCCATCCCACCTCCTTCACTCACTAAAATATGAATAACATCCTTAACAAAAGACACTGTCAAGATGATCACGGTATGGATTACACTGATTTTTCTTCATCGAGGATGTAAGTGCTTTTTTTTATTATTCTCTCTAATAATTGTCTTCGCTTGTACACGCTAACCAATAGAGGACTATTAGAATAAACAATCTGTGAGATGACTTTTACATGTACATAATGCTTTTTAATGTTTTTTTAATTTTATTTATTTTACCTCAGATTCTCTGGTTCCAGTGAAAACAGTTCAACTTGGTGAACCAGTGACCTTAACATGTGCTTTGCCCAAAGGGCTCCAGAGTGGAGAAGTCCACTGGTACAAGCAGAATCACGGGGATACCCTAAAGTTAATTATGACATCGTTTAAATCTACACCAGCGCAATATGGTCCTGCATTTTCTAAATCAAGATTTGAGGAACATAATGATAACAATTTCAGCAATGTGACTATTTTGAAGACCGTCCAAGAGGACGAGGGAATCTATCACTGTGGGCTCACAGAGTGGATTAGGACTAACTGGAGTGGCACATATTTGTTTGTAAAAGGTAAGTGTAAATCCTTAATATAAGCTTTAAAAAAGCTCTTTTGCCTCTCTGTCTCCTTTTTTCGACCTGGACACATTTTGTTACATCCCCCTCATCCCCTGAACCTTTTTAGGGGAACGTAACACTCATTTACAATATTTTTGAGCTACTATGACAGTGCAATGTCTTTGCATTTTTATTACACAGGAAACAATCAGAAAGCATCAGTAGTTGTTCAACAGCTGACAGGATCAAATCCAATCCATCCAGGAGACACAGTGACTTTCCAGTGTTCAGTCTCTCACTCTGTCAACAAGACGTGTCCAGGAGGTCTCAGAGTTCTTTGGTTCAGAGACAGATCTCATGAATCTCATCCAGTCATTTACGTTAATACACATAATGAATGTGAGAAAAGATCTGATACTCAGAGGACATGTGTTTATCGCTTCTCTAAGCACGTCAGCTCCTCCGATGCTGGGACTTACTACTGTGCTGTGGCCACATGTGGAGAGATATTATTTGGAAATGGAACTAAACTGGATATTCACGGTACCTGTACCACTCATCTTTTAATTTGAAAATTAGACTATTTAAGTTTAAAATTTGTAAATTTCAGCTGAATTTAGCAGCATTTTGGTGTAAAACAAGTATTTTCTATTTCACAGCAATCTCATTAGGAGATGACATTAAACTTATTTAATTTTGCATCCACTCTAAAGGGAAAATTGTATCATTCTGCTTTCCATTACTTCAAAAAGGGAAAAAAATTATAAACTAACAAACACATGTTTTGTTTTTTTCTTTGTCGTTCCAGGAGACTACTCATGGTCAAAGAGCGCCAGCACAGTTATTTTTCTACTGTGTGCTTTACTGGCAATATGTCTGATTGTTATAGCTGTCCTTATTTGCACATCAAAGAAAAACAGCATGGATAACTGTGAAGGTAATTAAAGTTAATCATAGCAATCTCATCAATGAATTTAAGTAAAATGTTTTTAATTTGAATTCATTGTTATCTGTATTATTCTGCAATTAAGTTGCTGTTCTGCAGGAAAACTTTAGTGATCAGAGAAGACAACAGGTAAAGTACTTAAAACTAGGGCTGTCCTAATTTAAAAAGCCTAATTGTGTTTAGGTTTTAACATTTCCCATATTTTTCTTTGATTGATTTTCCTAGAATAAGGACACATGGATGTTTTCTGCTGCTGTCTTTACCCTGATGAAAGCTGAGAGAGGTGCATTAAAAGATGGAAAAATGTCGAAAAGGCAGCGACTCTACATGGCTTGTAAGGCTTTGGGGCTGGATTAGTGAATTAGCTAGCCTATTGAGTATCTCCCGGTATGCAATAATCGAGCTGATGTTTGCTTTTTAATAATGGGCTTCTTATCTCTTTTAGTATTCAATACAGTATATGTTATATCAGCATGCTTATTTGTATTTAGATTGAATTATCTGCACACACTGCATTGATGCATGAATGCTGTTGCATGAACTGTGTGCAAAAGTCAAAAGCAGAAATGTAATTTCAGTTCTGTAATGTATCAACTGTGCTAAAATTCTGCAACATGAATAAATATAATGCTTAAAATAGAAATTTGTTTGTGAAATTATTCTATAAATAGGCTTTAATAGATGACCACCCTGGATAGGTTGTCAGTCTATCACATGGCTAACATGCATACTATGCTAGAAATAGTGTGCTATTAATAGGGAATTTAATGATAATGTGTTGATAAAATTAAAAGTAGTGATTTGTATTAGCTTTACTACTTTTAGTCAAAGATCTAACCTTTAGAGAAGTTTGACAAAGTTGTGTTTTGCCTTGCTAAGAAGGGAAAATACAAAAATAAATGCAATTTTTTCCACTTTAGTTTGTTCACAAAACAGGATTTCACATGTAATTCCCATCCATAGTTTTGTACAGACTAGAGACACAGCTTTCATCATTCCACATAATTCCTGTACCTGCAAGTGTAAATTAATTTTGTCTCACATCATCATCATCATCATCATCATCACCTTTATTTATAAAGCACTTTAAAAGAGCCACAGCTGACACAAAGTTATGTACATTTAAGCTACATAATAAAATTACATAAGATATAAATAAAAGCCAAATAAAAGAAAAATATATAAAATATAAGCTTATAAGGCATTTAAATAATTAATATAACTTACAAGAGAAACTAAGTCTCACTGAGGTCAAAAGCCAACGAATAAAAACTAGTTTTAAGACGTGTTTTAAAAGTGGACAGTGAAGGCGCCTCTCTAACGTGCAAGGACAGGTTATTCCATAATTTAGGAGCCACGATAGAAAAGGCCCTGTCCCCTCGGAGCTTCCTCCTGGATCTTGGTACTTCCAGGAGCAGCTGGTCAGCTGACCTAAGAGACCGACAGGGTGAGCAGTGACATTTTGAACCAGCAGCAGACGTGAGAGCAGCGACTGACTGGCCCACACATAAAGTGCGTTACAGTAGTCCAGACGGGAAGAAATAAAAGCATGGATCACTTTTTGAAGGTGCTGGTTAGAAAGAAAAGACTTCACTTTTGCCAGTCACCTTAAAGGTTAAAAACTGGACTTTTCCACTGCTCTAACTTGTCTGTCCAACTTAAAACCAAGGTCAGTAATAACAGGTTTAAAATAAACTTCCAAGGGTCCCAAATCAACAGAGGACGACTCACCGGGACAACTGGGTCCAAACACAACACCTCTGTTTTCTTTTCATTAAAATTTAAAAAGTTTAAAGCCAACCACACTTTAATGTCATTTTCTCTAAAACCTTGGAAAGTAAAGGAAGCTTGGAAACAGGCCTATAATTAGCTAATAGACATGTGGACAAGTGAATGCTTTTCAGTCTTCCAGCAGAAGTGACACATTTTGCAGACTTTCATTTCATGCGTCTTGTTTCAGGGTTCATTAGAAAAATGTATGCTGATTCATCCTCTTTTATCAAATTATTAGCAGTAAGCAAAACGGGTAAGAATTCACTTTTCTATCTTGTAAATTACATTTCAGTCAAAAGCAACATTGCCACCAAGGTCAAAATCAAAGGGAATCATTGAGAGATCTCTGCAGTATGAATCTGGGCCACAAAAATAAGAAATGAGATATTGTTCTGAGCCAATAACAACATCTAGATCTGCAGGCACAACATCTAGAGAACTACATTCTTCAGTTAACATCAGTGACCATCGTTTAATAATAAGAAAGAGACCTGGAAAATATTGAGTCTATGTAGGGCTCCAAGGTGGGGAAAAAAAGTGCTAATCAAAAAGAACACAAAGGCTGATCTCACATTTTACCAGAAAACATCTCGATTATCCCCATGACTTTCTGGAACAGTTCAAGTATCAACGGTTCATGAGATTTCCCATCATAGCATTTTTACTAAAATCTCCAGTGTGTGGTTGGTTAATGATTTGCACTTTACCTTCTCTTTGTTGATAGTTCTCTCTGTAACTACAAACAAACACAAAAAACATGAAAGTGTGAAACGGTCAGCTCATGAGGGAGAAAAAGGTGTGAGGATGCGTCTAACCTTTTCACACCTATTGCTTTTTGATAAAACAGTGGTAGCTGTTACTTGATATTACAGAAAGAGAGAGAAAAGGAAGAGAGAGGAAGTATAAGAGGAAGAAAGGCCTCTTTGTACATGCTTGGTTGAAAGCAAAATCATCGCAATGCTAAAGTTTCCATGTATCACAATTGTGATTGTTTTTCATAAAGTGAAATAAAACAATCAACCAAGAAAACCCCAGTATAATTGATAGAGTTAATGCCCATTTCACATAACCAGTATGATGACTGAAAATTATATTCCACATTCTCAAGAAACAAGCAGATGTATCCCAATTCAGCGTCTGCAGCCTTAAAGGCCGCATTTTAAGGCCGATTACGTCACAGCGACGCGACGAAGGCTGTCCCAATTCGAAGGCTGCCTCAAATGCGTCCTTCATTTCCCTGAATTTCAAGGACGTGGCGGTGTAGACTTCATGGCCCAACATATCCCAGAATGCATAGGGCGGTGATGGGTGTGGATAATTTTACCGAAAAAAAACGGCGGATGAGGGGCGCCCGAAGAGTAAACTTTAAGTAAGTACTGAATATTATGTCACTTATTTATGTGCAAATGTTTAATAACGAAGAACATGAAAACATTCCTGTTGGCCACATGTCGGCAAAGTCATGTGACATTAGTGACGTTTGTACTAACTTGGTTTTAAAGCCTTTACTTTAAAATATACGCCGTTCAATAGCTGAGCTTAATCTTACAGAGAATGATCAAAGCTCATGTAGAAACAAACCTTTGTTTACAGTTTCTGACTCTCCGCCAAGCTTCTCTCCCTCATGTCACTGTTTAGTCCTGTGTTTAGCAATTAAGCTTGTGAAAACCTATATTGCTGTTTCCTCTGTTTTGAATCTGTTCTTGGGTTGACGTCTATGTACTGACAGAGATGGAGGTCAGCACAGGGTGCAAAGCCACCAGTGAAAGTCCACACAGCTGATGAGCTTCTGATGAGCGAGTGGGGTGCAGATCCAAGAATTATTAAAATGGACAGAATGGTCTGGCAGAGAATCACTGGCACAGCTGGTCCTTAAGGTAGCAGTCTCAACATGGATAATAACTTGCAGGTGTGGGAGAGAATAAACTTGGAAGAGCAGCTCTACCATAAGGTGGAGTCAGAGAAGAAGCCGCTGAGAAACCATTTCAAATGATCATTGGCAGATAATTGACTTATTTGAAGTGTTTCAGTCTGGTTAAAGAATTCAACATAGCACAGAAACGGTCACGGTAGATTGCCACTACCTAAACCTGGTTCTGACAGAGGTTTGTTCCTGTTAAAACTTAGTTTATCCTTCTCACCAACTCAAAGTGGTTAATTATAGGGGGTCATTTGTTGAGCTTTTCCTCCAAATACTGTAGGTTCTGTAACCTACAGCATGACGTGCCTTGAGGCACGACATAAGCAGAATGAAGTACATATGAAAAAACAAAGCTACCAGTGTTCAAGTCAAAAGACCAGAAGACCAATCAGTCAGAACACAACTTGTACACAAAAACATTCAAAACAACCATCAAACGAAAAAAGTAAACAACTTGGATAACTGTGATGAAAGCTAAAAGACAAGTGATGTTTTACAAAATGAAGGATCGGACTAATGTGACAGGAAGACGACTTCTGAAATGACCTGTTTGATAACCAATCAGCAGCATTTTACAGGTTAGTCTAAAACAATCCCACCTCCTCTTCTAGCTGAAATATGAAGAACGCCTCTAGCAAAAGACATTGCCAAGATGATCATGGTATGGATTACACTGAGTTTTCTTCATCGAGGGTGTAAGTGGTTTTTCATTATTCTCTATAATAATTTTCTTAACTTTTATAGAGAATTTAAGCGCTTTTTTATTTCCACTAATAATTTTCTTTGTTGAAACTCTACATACTAAAATTACAATTAATACAATTATCATTTAAATGTTTCTTTTTTTTCTTGTAACACTTTTTCTATTTGTTTTTCTTTTTCTTCAGATTCTCTGGTCCCAGTAAAAACCGTTCAGCTCGGTGAAGCAGCAACATTAACATGTGCTTTGCCCATTAAAGAATTCGGCAGTATAACAGTCCACTGGTACAAGCAGAGTGCTGGAGATGGTCTTAAATTAATTGTGACATTGTCAAAATCAGCACCACCTGAATATAGTCCTGAATTTTCTAGAAAGAGATTTAATGTGGAAAATGCTAATAATGTTTGCAACCTGACCGTTCTGAAGACAGTCCAAGAGGATGAGGGAATCTATCACTGTGGAATAGCTGAGTGGATGTATCCCATTCAGTGGAGTGAGACGTATTTGTCAGTAAAAGGTAAGACTGAGCTACTTTTACAAACTTTAAAGTTTCTACTATAAGCTTTAAAGCATCTCTGTATCTTTTGTAATACACAGGAAATACTCAGATGACATCAAACTATACTGTTGTTCAGTGGCCTCCAGTATTAGACCCACTCCATCCAGGAGAATCAGTGACTCTGCAATGTTCGATCATCTCTGTCTTTGACAAAGCAACATGTTCAGAAGATCTTAGTGTCTTTTGGTTCAGAGCCGGATCAAATAAATCTCATCCAAACATCATCTATACTCATGGAAATACACATGATGAATGTGAGAATCGATCTGAGACTCAGAAGAGATGTGTTTATCGCTTCTCTAAGAACGTCAGCTCCTCTGATGCTGGGACTTACTACTGTGCTGTGGACATATGTGGGGAGATATTATTTGGAAATGGAACTAAAGTGAATATTCAAGGTAGGTGTACCATGATCTGTTCATTTGAATATTTAAAAATGTAAGTGTATAGACCATAATTAGTATTTGGGTGTAAAATTTCACATTTATAGGAATCTAATCAGTAGGTTGACTTTTACTCATCTGTTACTGTATTTCTTCTTTTGTTATTGTTCCAGGAGACTGTACGTGGTCACAGGGTGCCAGTACAGTTATTCTTCTGCTGTGTGCTGTCTTGACTATATGTCTGATTGTTATAGCTGTCCTGATTCGCATGTCAAAGAAAAACAGCAGGGATAATTGTGAAGGTAATATAAGTTAATCATAGCTATCCCATCGAATTTAAACAAAACGTTATAGCTGTCCTCATCAAGAAAAACCTTAGTGATCATTTCTCAGGCAATTAAAGTTTACCACAGTGTTTTAGCTAAAAATAATTAAAGTACAAAGTTTTGCATTTCTATTAATATTTATCGATATATTCCATAAACAAGGTGCTGTTCCACAGAAAAGATTCAGCGCTCAGAAAAATCAACAGGTAAAGCTTGGGTTATCTCTGTAAAATAATCAAAATGTATTGGTGTTTAGCATTCAATATTGCTAATATTTTTATTTATCTTTTTCCCAGAATAAGGACACGTGGTTGTTTTCTGCTGCTGTCTTTACCATGATGAAAGCTAACAGAGGTGCATTAAAAGGTGCAAAAGCAGTGAAGATGCAGAAGATCAACATGACTTGCAAGACTTTAGGGCTGGATCACTGAATTAGCAAACCTGTTTAGCATCACTTGGTATGTGATCACCTTGTTGATGTTGGCTTATCTTTAATGCCTATAAGCTGTACTCAGTATTGTATACTGAATGAATCTCATTCTTCCATTCAGCCAGAAATTCAACATTCTTGTCTAATCTGGCCATGAGTGGTATTTGTTGTTCTCTCATCTCATGCCATCTCCTTTCAACCTGCTGTAAAGAAAAAAATCCTCCAAATACTTCAAAAAACCAATTAAAACAATACACGTGATGAGATGCCCAGCTACGTAATATACATAGTTTCCAGTGCTCCCCTTTCCCACATTTCTTAATTTTTTTACAACAAAGTTACAAATTTTATTTGATTTAAATAAAATAAATGAATATTTCTATTCTATTTTTGTGGTCATGGTTATTATGCTGAGTAAATGCAACTTTATATCCCACCTGCAGTTTTTCTACACGTAAAGGCACTTTATCCAGAGTAACCGTATATCAGAGACGTTTACAGATTTCAACATTAAAAACGATCAGTGGTTTTAAGAACCTTACATTACAATCTGTATCAAGACAAAAAACTGCAGCAGTGAGCTTATTGTATGATTTATTGTACAAATCTGGACCAGTCTTTATCATACAGAATTTATTCATATTGTAAAAATGTCTCCACTTATGTAAATAAAAAAACATTTGCCAAACTCTTGTCCACAACAAATGTCTGTTGTTTTGCACCTTTTTAAAGTCAAAGGCAAAAGACATCCTGTAATTGAGTTGGTTGGTGTGAATGTGGACGTGTAGCGCTCTGTCGCCTCGCCTCTGTCAGTGTACCCCATGGCAGCTGTGGCTACAATGTAGCTGCCATCACCAGTGTGTGAATGGGTGAATGACTGAATGTAGTGTAAAGCGCTTTGGGGTCCTTAGGGACTGAGTAAAGCGCTATACAAATGCAGGCCATTTACCATTTACCATGACTGATTGGTGATCTGTCCAAGATGTGCTCTTCCTCTCACCTTATGACAGCTGAAATAACCTCCATCCCCCATGTGACCCTAAGCATAGGCATATATTGATATATACATGGAACTTAAGAAGACGTTCTCTCCCACTTGAGCTGATCGGAGTCTTTAGATAATAAAAAAGTATTTGCATTGGGGAATGGTCTCCAAATATTAAACTTTTGTTAGCAAAAGTTAAAAAGGTCAGAGCATCTGGCTTCTGCCCTTGGCTTATACAGAGCGTTGCTGGTGGTCTTTAACATCAGTGTACACATAGTCTTGCAGTGACTCTCTCCTCTTCTTCCCTCTTTTTACACTTGTTGCAGAGAAATGCACCGATGAATAGTTCATAGGCTGAAATGACACATATTTCAGATTTCATGGGTGGAGAATCAGGATGAATTTAAATGAGATTACTGAGATTAGAATTATTAATAAGTTACATATTTAATTTAAGACTTTGCTGTTTACCTTGTAACTTTATTCCAGTTTATTATATAATGATATTGGAACACATTTAACAAAATGGCAAAACAAGATTATAATATATAACTTATATGCTGTGAGTATGATATTATGCATGTACTCTCCACAAGACATACTGCAGCATGTCCAAAGGTATATTTACCAAAACTGCTCGATCCACATTTGACACGTCCTGTCCAAAATGACTGGAGGCATGCATTTCCCCTATAAAGAGAAAAGGTAAAGGAGTTTTGAATTTTTGAGTTTACATATGAGGAATATGGTTACAGCTGTCATGACACTGTTTTATTAAGGGCCACTTATAAACAGACAGAATGCATCTAGTGGTTGGGACCTGGATGTCACTGTCTGCAGGGCAGACCGAGTGGAGTGAGTGAGGTGAATCCAGGAGCAGACACAGGCAAGGAGATGGAAGTGAACTTTATACAAAAGGCGAGCCATTATTATGGCTGATACAAGGTGGCGTGACAAAACAGCAAGGACAGTGGCTAAACTCAACTATAAACAACAATGACTATGACTGTGACGACTGTGACAACATGGTGGCAGGTAACACAGACGATGCAACCCTGAACACAGGAAGACGGAGGACTTAAATACACACGAAGCAATCAGGTGATTAGGGTTGCACCCTGTCTCCTGTCCTGTTTGTGACATTTTACTGACAGGCTTTTAGAAGGCAATAAAGTTCTTTTGGCTTAACTGGAATGATGTATTCAGCGTGTAATGAAACACACGTGAAATGTACTGTTTCTAAGTCCTTTGTGGATTCCTTACTTAGGGTTAGGAGAAATTTGCTGACCCAAGTTGGCAAGGTAACTTGCTAAGGATCTTTTCTATAACTGTTGGGAAGGTGGAGCAGTCCATATATATATATATATATATACATATATATATATATATATATATATATATATATATATATATATATATATATATAAATATATATATATATATATATATGTATATATGGGGGTGTGTGTGTATTTTGTGTGTGTGTATGTATTAACCTACCTCTGCAGTGCTCCTTTGTTGTGCTGCTTTGTTTTATGTAGAAAAGAAGAAAGGCAATCACAGAAACACAGCAGGCCAGCAGTATTCCAAGAGCAAGGACAACAGGTTCTAATTCAGGTCCTGATTTTTATGGAAATTTATCATATTTATTTTATACAGACTATTGGGAGTTATGCTCGTGTATTCGAAATCAGCCTATAAGATATTGATACAAATATTGATTTACTGATGAAATGAGTAAAACAATTTTCAAAAAAAAAAGCAAGCTAGTTTCTGATTTAAATACCAATGTTCACTACATACGTGTCTCTACTTGAGTTCCATTACCAAACAGGATCTTTCCACGTGTGACCACAGCACAATAGTAAGTCCCAGCATCAGAGGAGTTCTGTATCGTTTTGGACAGGCTGAAGACACAACTTCTCTTCACATCTTCAGTTCTGCTGTTCCTGTGAGTGTTAATGATGTTTAAATCAAATCCTTCTGGTCCAGCTCTCAACCAGTACACTGTGTGTTCATCTGAACACTGGACAGCAGTTTCTTTGTTCTTCGAGAGAAGCGAACAATTTAGTGTCACTGAGTGTCCCAGAAGAACCGATGCCCTCTGTGGACTTTGTTTCACGTAGACACATTTCTGGTTACTGTGATCTGTGAATCAGACAAATTCATAACATAAACTATTTTTAGTTAATTAAAAATTGAAGGTGATCAGTGAGACTGACATATTTTACCATTCACAAACAAGAATGTTCCTCCACTGAATTTAGGAGAATAATTTGTTCCAGTGTGACAGAAATATGTTGCTTCATCCTCTTTACTGACATTTCTGACAGTTAGAAAATACTGAGATGCCTTTTTTATAACTGTGAAACGAGAATCTTTGAATTCCTCAGAAATAGTGCTTTGGCCACGGATGACTTTGGCAACAGTTTGGACCATATGTCCAAGAGGCTGTTTATGCCAGTAGAAATATTTCATTTCCACCCCAGAGACATTACACACTAAAGTAACATTGTCACCAGGTTCAACAGCAGTCAAAGAAATCGGTGGAAGAAGGTCAGCAGCCAGAATCAGGGCTGTGAAACAAAGGAAAATAAGAAAAGTTTCAACATTACAGGACAATATCAATGGAATTACCTGTAGAAACATTAGTACACAACTATGGCTAAGATATATTGGAGTTTTCAGACACCGCACATTACAAACAGAAGATTTGCATCATGTCTTTCACACTGAAAAAGAACTGCACTTACCTGGTGTAAAAAGCAGAATGAAAACAGTCAGTTGTAAGGTCATTGTACTGCAGCTTCGCGCTAATGTTCTCTTCTTGCCCAAATAGTCACACGATGAGGAGTGTTTCTAAAGCACAAACAGGTCATTGGCGGAAATGTCAGAAATTGCCTTCTGCCTATTTAGTAAAAATACACATAGGTGTGTGTTAGAAGTTATCACTTCCTTTATTCTGACCACTTAAAGAATGGCAGAGTTATTTTTTTCTCACAGTTTGCCCCACTAAGCGTTTCAACCCTCCTCGTCATTTAGAAGAATGCAGATTTTTGGTACTTCTGCATTTACTTTTCACACACAGACATTATACAGTCCATGTGCCAAAATCTAATACATTACTTTAGAAAGAATTACCGTGTGAGAAATTGTTCCCTTTATTTCAAAGATTAAAAATGATTTCAAATTAGATATCTCATTTACAGTTTTTGCCCGTTGCTTGAACACTATAAACCCATGCTCAGACTAAAGTAACACAACGTGAAGCTTTTGTTACCATACCTCAAACACATGTACCCATACCTTAAACAAAAGCGCTGCTTTGCACCCCAGTACCAATTATGCAACACTCCTACTCCTTTATGCAACACACCTACCCCTTTATGCAACACACATGGTCCTGCATGCTACACTCTATTTCATACATAAGACACTTCGCTCACAAAATGAAATTTCAGGGTGCCATTCGGAAAACACATGTATCCAAAATACAAAACACATCGGATAATTGCAACCACTCAAATATACACCTGAAGGCACGTACTTGCAAAACCGAACACCAATTAGCCAACTACAAAAAGCCCTCAGCGTAGCCATTTCAAGAACTTTGCAAGCATGGATGGAGGGAGAGCAAGAGGAAGAGGAAGAGGAAGAGGTAGAGGAAGAGGTAGAGGAGGAGGAGGCCGAAGAGGCCATGCACGGACCCATATTTCTGATGAAATAAGAGCAACTTTGGTGGACCATGTCATCAACCATGGCCTGACTATGAGGGAAGCTGGGCAGAGAGTCCACCCACATCTAAGCCGCTTCACAGTGGCATCTGTAATACGAACATTCCGACTAGAAAACAGGTATGTCTTCACCTCCATACCTTCTGCTCTAC